AGAGGCACCCGAGGAGGTGGGTGGACTAAAACTCCTCCTTTCCAGAGGAGCCGTGGAGTTTTAGTCCACAACCAGCTCACCGTAATCCACAAACTGGACGTCGGATGCTGTTTGACAGCCCAGCACGTCGCTGCCCATCAGCAGAAGGATGATACTACGGAAGAGCTTGTGGGCTTCAGCGAGAGCCGTCTCGGGCGTCTTCCACCCTGTGTGAGGGTGGGCATGGGGATCAGCACCCAGCCAAGACGCTCTCCAGCCCCAGCACTGAGCAACTCCCTCAAATTCCCTCTCCTCACCCCAAACGGGCTGGTTTGGAGAAACCACTGCCAGCCTGCGGTGCACTGGGAGGGTTTTCAACATCCCCCCTCAGAGACTCACCCTGCACAAAGATCCGCTGTCGGAGCTCCGGCGAGAGACGGGCAGGGGGCAGGCTCAGGTAGATGGCCACCAGCTGGAGGACGTGGGCTCGCAGCAGGTACCAGACCTTCATGATTTTTTGCAGAGCTGGGTTCTGGAGCACCCCCAGCAACAGGGTGAGACCCTCTTCAATCTGCAGAAGGAGAAAAAGAGTCTCTGTTCATGACCCAGAGTGCCTCCATGCCCAAGATCCCTAGTGAAAGCTACTGAGATAACCAGGCAGAGCTGCTGCAGTCTCCTCTTGCCCTCTGACACTGCTTTTGGGGCAGAAAAGGGCTTTTAGGAGCCTTACCCGGTGGTTGGCACAGCACAGCTGGCTGCGGAGCAGGAGGCAGGTTTGCTGCAGCAGCAGGTAGGAATCATCACTGCTGTCGGCTTTCCGCAGGCAGGATTCCGTCTCCTCCAGGAAAAGCTGGAAACCAACGTACCGAGGGCTGCAGCCTCGGGAATCAGCTGAGCTCACCCCGCGGCCCCTTCCCTCCCTGCCAGACTTACCTGGGCATAGCTGGGGCACTCCAGCTGCAAGAGCAGCTTGGTGACCTGGCACAGGGCGCCGGCCATGCCCAGGCTGTCCCCGAGCGCGCTGCACAGGGTTCTGACCAGGAGGAAGCTCTCCATGGCTTGCAAGGGCTGGAGGCAGGAAAACCCCCCCTGGTTACGCTCAGAGACCCCCTCAGAGGGACTCTGTGTGCCTGGAGAGGCTGCT